AATAGAGAAGAAGATTTCTTATTGTTGAAGTTCTATTATTTAGAAAATCAACAACACCTCAAGAGGGGATACCCTTTTCTTTATAATGTATTAAGGTTTTTCAAATGTAGTAACCGATGTTTTAGTTTACAAATAAAGTTAAGTTATATATGAGTGGAAGTTAAGTGTTTATATATCAAATTTTTATTTTTCTTGTGATTAAATGAAACCTTATAAGATTATATTGACAATATTAACTATGAATTTGTCATATAAAATATTGTATAAGGTTGTATGACTATTTTATTCTTTATTGTTTCAATCATTATATTCAAACTCTTTTGATATTTAGATTATTAAAGGCACATAGATTATTAAGGTTTGACGCATAATCAATACAAAAGGTTTATTTACTTTCCAAATTCAGAGTCACTGAAATTAAAATTAAACGAATTCTTCTTCTTCATAATGGGTAAAGAAAAAGATACAAACATTAATATTCACAAAATAAAAATAAATAATTGAAGACAGTGATATGATATTTGATCCACTTTTTCATTATCAACTTCTCCAAGTTGGGCTTTGGGTGGGGGTATTTACATGAACATGGAGATCTAGATGTAGGTGTGGGGTAATATAGTTGCGTGTAGCGTCGGCCCACCGTACGTCTCTGACAGCGACCAATAAAAAAGGTAAACAGTGATTTACGTCAAGTCTCTTCATAACTCTATATGGACCCCGCAACCAATGGTCACGATTTGTCTTTGTTTTATGGTACGTGCGGATCATAAGATTCGCTCATCACGTCATCTTTACCAATCACACATTTACGACCCTACATCTTCCCTTAGTAAATGTTAATAATGTACATTTTTATTTATTTCAACTTTATAATATATAATACAAATTTTCTTCAAACTTGGATATTTACATTTATCTTTGTGTTCAATAAATGAAAAGTTATAAGTTATCATGTGTTTTCAAAATTATTAACTATACTTTATAAAACAAATGAATAATTTGAAAATTATATATTTATTATATATATAGTCATAAGGGATCTAGAAATTTCTGTTATAATAGACTAAAATAAAAATTAATTGCATATTAATATTTCTATTAGAGTGGACCAAAATCTATAAATTGTATATATTAATATTTTTTTTTTTAATTTGAGAATAGGTCATGGCTCGCCCTCAACTAGTACTTCATCCACCCTTTATGTATAGTCATTCTTTAATGTAGACATCTTAAAATTCTTAACTTCTGAACTAGAGGTGAGCGTCTATTCACCCACTTCACAAACTTTACAATTAAAAGTGATCTACAGCTGGACGCTCACCTTTAATCTGCACATAAAAAAATTCAGAGGGTACGCATTAGAAATAATAATAATATTAGATTTTGATTTAAAATTTGATTATTCAATCAATTACCTGTCAACAATATGAGTAATAATAATTCTTATCATAAAAACAATATACAATTATAAATTGATATGACTGTCGAACCATTTAAGTAGTATAATGAAAAATTATAGAAGTAAAAGATCTAGGACCCATGAATTAACTAGTTCTAAAATTATGATTCCAACACTCTATATGTGTGTGTGTGTGTGTGTGTTTGTGGCAATTGTATCTAGATTTCCAGCTCGGTCGACTCGTATGGGCTGGACATTACCCGCTGTTTGAGGAGATGGGCACGGGCCTGGGTATTGGTTTAGCCTTTTAAGGCCCACCCTCGGGTACGGTTTGGGCCCAAAGAAGCCATCTCCAGGCCCGACCCGGCCTGGCTCAGCCTAATTTTTATCATATAAAAAAATTACAATTACAATTTTATTTTATTTTATTAGATAACAATTAATTGGATTTTAGTCAAACCCAAGATCTTTTGCCCACCATATTAATCTATACACAAATATGGTGATTAAAGAAAGAGATACTATTAATTAACTTAATATGAAAGACAAAGAAAAATATATCAAAGATTGCTTATGAGAAAATAAATTATAAAAATTAACATGAGTCAGGACTGGCAATCACAAAAAGCTAGTCGAGCCGGGCCTAGACATTATTTATCATCCCCATAACGAGCTTGGGCTAGGATCATAGGGTCAAGCCTCGGCGTGGACTCGGGCCAAGGGGTACCCCGCCCATTGCCAACTCTCTCTCTCTCTCTCTCTCTCTCTCTCTCTCTCTCTCTCTCTATATATATNAAATTAAAATTTTATTTTATTTGATTAGATAACAATTAATTGCGATTTTAGTCAAACCCAAGATCTTTTGTCCACCATATTAATCTATACACAAATATGGTGAATAAAACAAGAGATACTATTAATTAACTTAATACGAAAGACAAAGAAAAATTTATCAAAGATTGTCTATAAGAAAATAAATTATATAAATTAACATGGATCAGGACTGGGAGTCACAAAAAGCTAGCCGAGTTGGGCCTGGGCATTATTTGTTATCTCCACAATGGGCCTAAGCCTGGATCATAGGGTCGAGCATGATCCAGGCCCAGTTTTATCATATAAAAAAAATTAAAATTTTATTTTATTTGATTAGATAACAATTAATTGCGATTTTAGTCAAACCCATGATCTTTTGTCCACCATATTAATCTATACACAAATATGGTGAATAAAACAAGAGATACTATTAATTAACTTAATATGAAAGACAAAGAAAAATTTATCAAAGATTGCCTATAAGAAAATAAATTATAGAAATTAACATGGGTCAGGACTAGGAGTCACAAAAAGCTAGTCGAGCTGGGCTTGGGCATTATTTGTTATCTCCGCAATGGGCCTGGGCCTGGATCATAGGGTCGAGCACGGGCTTGGGCCAAGGCCAAGGGGTACTCGGTCCTGACCCGACCCATTGCCATCTCTCTCTCTCTCTCTCTCTCTCTCTCTCTCTCTCTCTCTCTCTCTCTCTCACTATATATAGTAAAACATTTGTATAGTAATACTTATGAATAACTTCTATAGAGTCATAAAATAATATAGTCCCAGCTTGAGATAGTTATAAATAAGAATAAACTTTATATTGTAATAAGTTATAATTTTTCTGATTTTCGTCTTAAGAAAGTTATCTCTACGTAATAATAATTATCTATATATTACAAAAAATATATGTTATGTTACATTAAATGTTTAAGAATAAATAAAATATTTATCTAAAGTTATTTGAGATAATAATTTATGCTTGAGAGTTGTTACCACATCTTTTAACTTACGGTTACGTAATAACTCATTAAAATTGACATATTTTTATTGAAACCAAAATATTTCTAGTTTTTTAAGTATGTTTAGAGCTTCGAAACGTTTTGTATTTCTATACTATCATCCTCATGATTGTTTCCATTCTCTTATTGTTTAATTGTAGTACTAACTACTAAAACAATTATTGAAATCCTAACATTAATTGTTTTATTGCCTAATCAAGGATATATCTTTGGAAGTTTCATCTTTTCAAACTTGAGAGGAGAATAAACCCAATTAATGTATGATTTTTTTAGATCTTGTAAAATTCATAAATTATAGTTTGAGAAAAAAGGAATAAGAAAAATAGTTAGATGGGGGCCATTAAAGGATTTGAATGTTATTGGAGTTGAAATAGATGGACCCTTTGCTCTTAATTTTATGTAAGAAGGACATGGCATTTAGTAATAGTAGAGTTAAAAGGAAAGAGACATTAGGTGGACCTAACTTAACCAAAGACTTTCATTAAAATTAAACTAATTTCATTCATCCCAATCACATATTCTTTTCCATAATTATAATTTAATAACTATTTTTTTTTTTTTTTTTTATTAAAATTAAACTAATTTCATTCATCCCAATCACATATTCTTTTCCATAATTATAATTTAATAACTATTTTTTTTTTTTTTTTTTTAAACTTTGTCAAATTTAAAGTCAATCCACATAAAAAGAGAAAGTGCCTAACTTGGTTACCATTTTGGCAATGCAAACCTCCTTATCGATGCAAAATTTTTACACATTCAGGTGAATCATTGCCCATCATTTACAATTCAAACTCATGCCACTCCGCTTTGTTCTTTGACATTAATTAATTTAATATATTTTTAATTAATTAATTTATTTATGAAGGGAAATTAAAATTTTAGAAAGTGGATAGCAATTAGTAATGATAAAAGGGTTTGACATGCATGAAGTTTATATAAATGAAAATGGGCCACCTCATTCTCATGAGAAGCAATATGCCAATATGCAACTTGGAACCATATCTATCACCATCTATACTCTCATGCTTTTCTTTCGAATCATTTCATGCATCTTAAATATATGTATTTTTTATTTTTTTTATAATTCTTTTACTATGAAATCCAAAAACTAATAAGGCCTCTCTTTTGGCATTTGAAAATAAATGGAATATAAATATGATTTTAAAAAGGGAAATGATACTAAATAAACTATTTTTTTTTGGGACTCAGTTAAAAAATAGCCTTTAAAAAAAAACATTTTAAGAAATATTTATATTCTAAACTTTAGCATCCGTTGAACCAAATTACTCTTTTTTAACCAAAAATTCAAAGTGATCAATAATCAATTGGTTTAGAAATTGATTAACATTTATCGATTAACCGTGTTTTATATCAGATAGAGTTTGTTTTATTTCAAGACTCTGTTTGATAGAAATAGATAAAATCGATAAAGATCGAATAAAAATCGATAATTAAGAAAAATGGTATTTTGATTTAACCATTGCTGAAATTTTGAAAATAAGACTATTTTCTAAGAAACTTTTATGAATGAGCTATTTCTTAACTAAAAAAGAAAATTATTTAATATTAATAATGGGTTATTTAATATAATGATATTATAAAATCTTAAAAGAAAAAAATAAGAAAAGAGGGTTGTCTTGCAATAATAATTACAATAATGGCATATAAGTAATTGGTTCAAGTATTGAGGGTATTCTTATTTGTGTTTATGTTGTCTGAAATTAGCACCTAAAGTGCAGAAAAAATTGGAAAAACGGAAAACCTCTCTCTTTCTCTTTCCCACATAAAAATCTGACACACAAACACACCCTCCTCTACACTCTATACTTTTTGCTTTTATTTATTTCACTACTATAAAAAAGCACCAGAAATAAAATAAATAAATAAATAAATTTAATGGCAGTTGTTTGTTGATTGATTGAAACACAGAGAGAGAGAGAGAGAGAGAGAGAGAGAGAGAAGAAGAAGCAGAAGTGGCAGCAGCAGCAGCAGCTCATAGATATTCATAGACTCAGTACCAGTAGTACCAAACCCAGTTCCACTTCTAAAACGAACCACCCTTTTTTAATGATATATTCTCTGCAAAATTTTGTAACTTCAAAACACACACTCTCTCTATATATTATGATTCTTGAGTTTAAGTTTTTGATGGTTGTTATTGCATGCACATAAGTATTTGCTGGGGTTTGGTAAGATCTGGGTGTTTTTTGTATGAAGTTAAAGTTTTTGAGATCTGCAGTTTATAAAGAAAAAAGAGTGATTTGAGGTGTAATGTGGTGGAGCATATGAGGCACAAATCCATAGTGTTTTGTAGCAAAACCGGTTTCGGTTGAATCATGAATCACATTAAGTGAAGTGAAGAAGTTTTGTTATGTTGTGGATCTTTCTTTGAAGTTTGGATTTCAAGCTCTTCAATTTTGTACCACTCAAAAAAATGAGACTTGCTTCAGCTGGTTTTAGTCCTCAAACCCAAGAAGGTATCAAATTCTTAAGATGTTTTCAATTTTCTCAATCAAGAAACACTGATTTTTAGCTTCATCTTCTTATTTTTATGTCTTTTTCAAGAAAAGCCACAGTTTTCTTCATTTCTTTTTGGACATATTGAGGTTCTTTGATTTTATTCTGAAAAAGGGTATTTTTGTATGATTTTTTTTATTTTTTTTTTGCAGGGGAGAAGAGGGTGTTGAACTCTGAGCTTTGGCATGCGTGTGCCGGTCCTCTTGTTTCTCTACCTGCTGTTGGAAGCCGCGTTGTTTATTTCCCTCAAGGCCATAGTGAGCAGGTTAGTTTATTTGTGTATTAGAGGTAATATCTCTACTTGGTTTTGCTGAATGAAGCATGAATAATCACTATTTTTATAATCTTAATCTGGGAAACATAAAGTGGTTTTAATTTCTTTTATTTTCTAAATTCAACTTTGAAATGGTTAATGTTTCTGATTTCTACTAAGAATTGCCGTAGTTGGAGTTGATCATTGTGATTGTAAGTTCACACTTACCAGAGTAATGTCTGATTATTTATCTATTTTTGCGGTTTTATGAGGGCAGGTTCTTTAATCGACTCTTGTTGTCATGATTTAGTGGTGTTGTAATCTGTTGAGTTTGAACAATGCACAGAAATCAGATACGGTAATCTGTAACTAATCTTACTTCTTTTCAATTTTATCTTTATGGTAATTATTGAAGGTTGCTGCATCAACCAACAAAGAGGTGGATGCACATATCCCTAACTATCCAAGCTTGCCTCCACAACTTATCTGTCAGCTGCACAATGTAACCATGCATGTAAGGGCTTTTCAGTTTTTGTTGTTTGTGATTCTAAACATTCCGCTGGGCTAGTTACTGAAATCTCAAAATTTATCAACTTCAGGCCGATATTGAGACAGATGAAGTATATGCACAGATGACCTTACAGCCATTGAGTCCGGTATGTTGTTTTGCTGGAGTTTAATCAGTTTTTGCATCTTAATAGCCTGCTTTTTGGATGGTCTCTTATATAAAACACCCTTATTGTGTAGCAAGAGCAAAAGGAAACATATCTTCCAGCAGAGTTAGGCAACTCCAGCAAACAGCCGACCAATTATTTTTGTAAAACATTGACAGCCAGTGACACAAGTACTCATGGAGGATTCTCTGTTCCTCGGCGGGCAGCTGAAAAAGTGTTTCCTCCATTGGTAAACCTCTTTTGTTACCAGATATGACCATCAATTTCAAGTGCTTCTATAATTTAAGAACTTGTTTGCAGGACTTCTCCCAGCAGCCCCCAGCTCAAGAGTTGATTGCCAGGGATCTTCATGATAATGAATGGAAATTTCGGCATATATTTCGGGGTGAGTGTTTCAAGGACACCTATTAATTTCAGCTGCTGTAGGCTATATTTATTTTGCATAAAGGAAGGTAGTTTCATACACACCTTTAAATTAAACAATAACATTTTGATAATGATCATGACTTCTCATCACGCAGGCCAGCCCAAAAGACATCTCCTTACTACAGGATGGAGTGTGTTTGTAAGTGCTAAGAGACTCGTTGCTGGTGATTCAGTGCTTTTTATCTGGTAGGGAGCTGATTAATCCACCAATAGTGGCTCTTTTCTATTTGCATTATTACATAACAAATTTTAGTTTTTTTTTTCTATGCTTTAGTTGACCTATGCTAGAACTGTGCCTTATTTGGATAATATTCTAGGTATCTAACCTATATTTTCTTCTTGGTGAGTCATCCAAGATATGGCATATATTCATTTGAACGGTTTAACATATTATTTCAGGTGCATGCCATCCTTTTGATTCTAGCTATTAAGGTTTCATTCAATTTGATTTTTGTTTTCTGTTTTGACAGACTGAATGCAAGAAATCAAATTTTGTATCTTCAAGATTTGGGAACATCTTTGGTATCATTTTTTGAATACAACTTTCTGAAAATGAAAATAATGAAATGCTGCTTGTTCTAGATTTTTGAAAGTGATAAAAATACATTTCTCATAAAGAATTATTAAAATGTTTTTTTGACAATCTTACTATTAAAAAAAAAAAAAATATAAAATTACTTTTATAATATTAATTAAAAATAAATCGGTGCAAAAGTGTTTTTGGTTTTGACAAATAAAATCTTGAGAATTGAGGGAATAATACAATGTTTATTCACACTGTGCGATTACATCCTAGCTGTAAATGGGGAAAACAAGATTTTTTTCATTTTATTATTACAAGAAATAAAAACATGTGACAAGTACTTTGCGTTTGAGCTTAAGAGAAAATGAGGAAAAACGAAATGAATATGGAAATGAACAGGCCCTAAATCCTTTACACTCCCTCTGAGAACAATTTCATTTTGGGTCTTTCATTTTTTATTTCTTTATTTTTAATGAATGGTGTTTTCAATTTCTTTTCATTTTATTATTACACTCTTAAAGCATTTTGTTATTAGAAAATTCTTAGGCAAAGGTCCTGGTGTATTTTGTTGATTTTTTGACAAATATGGTTCTTGCATCAGGAATGAGAAGAATCAATTGCTTCTTGGTATCCGCCGTGCTAATCGACCACCAACTGTGATGCCTTCATCAGTTTTATCAAGCGACAGTATGCACTTGGGGCTTCTTGCTGCTGCAGCTCATGCAGCTGCAACCAATAGCCGCTTTACCATATTTTATAACCCAAGGTTTGACTTTGTGCTTGTTTGTAGAAATTGAAGTTTTTGATCAACTACTTGCCTTTGAATTTTTCACTACTTTCTTTCAGGGCTAGTCCATCAGAATTTGTCATACCTTTGGCCAAGTATGTGAAAGCAGTCTATCATACTCGTGTTTCTGTTGGCATGCGATTTAGGATGCTGTTTGAAACAGAGGAATCAAGTGTGCGACGGTAGGTTTGAGACTTTCTATCATTTGACTCGCTATATTGGCTATGAACTAAATTGATATGGTTATTGGGTATTTGGTAGTTTCCTATTTGTATACTTTTACAATCTCTTCTGCATTTTGAGGAAAGCTTCTTGTTCTAGTTGCCCTTTGATGGTTTGGGGGCCATATTTCTACTCATAATCTATTCATTTAAATATTAATTAATACATAAAATAGTAGAGCTGATTGTTCATGAAAGGTTATAGTCAGTGGGAGTTAAGTACAAGACTGGAAACCATTTAGAAAGGGCTGAAATATTGTTTAAGAATAGATGATGCATATGCTAAATCAGGACGAATGTTTGGGGCAGTACATCTATGAAATGCAAGGGAACAGTTTACGGACAACATCTGGTTTTTTCATTACAATTTTCTGTTTTTGGATTACAAGTCTATTTAGTAGACCATAAAATTCAATAAGGAAGTTGAGTTATAATTGTTATAATCTTGATACCTAACAATTTCTTTGTTTCACATTCTATGATTTTGTCCAGCTACATGGGCACGATAACTGGCATAAGCGACTTAGATCCTGCAAAGTGGCCAAATTCACATTGGCGCTCTGTCAAGGTCTTTTTGATGACAATGATTTAAACCCGTTTCATTTAATACAATTTCATTTATTTCCTATTTTTACCATGACTGAAGTAAATTGTAATGAACCTTAATCAATGCAGGTTGGCTGGGACGAATCAACAGCAGGGGAGAGGCAGCCAAGAGTTTCCTTGTGGGAGATTGAACCATTAACAACATTCCCAATGTATCCCTCTCCATTTCCACTGAGGTTGAAGCGGCCATGGCCAGCAGGACTACCTGCCTTTCATGGTATGCTTGTCTACTTTATCCTCGAGGGCCATGATCCATACTCTTCTGACATTGCCCTCAAATTTGAACTCGTTTTGTGGTTCCTAATCTCTCCATGTATCATTTAGACATCAAGGATTGATATCCCTATCTTATTGCTCTTAGGTATTAAAGATGATGATCTAGGAATGAATTCTCAACTTATGTGGCTCCGAGGTGACGGAGATCGTGGAATTCAGTCTATGAACTTTCAAGGACTTGGAGTTACACCATGGATGCAGCCAAGGTTAGATGCTTCAATGCTTGGTTTACAAACTGACATGTATCAAGCTATGGCTGCTGCTGCACTTCGGGAGATGAGGGCTGTTGATCCTTCCAAAGCTACTCCGACATCCCTTCTGCAATTCCAACAACCCCAAAATCTCCCCAGTCGGACTGCTGCTTTAATGCAGCCCCAGATATTACAGCAGTCTCATCATCAGCAGACGTTTATTCAAGGTGTTCAAGAAAACCAACATCACTCTCAGTCCCAGGCTCAAACTCAGTCACACCTACTTCAGCCACAGTTGCAGCATTCGCACTCTTTCAATAGCCAACAGCAGCAGCACCAGCCAATGGCACAACAACAACAGCAACAGGTTGACCATCAGCAGATTTCAAGTGCTGTCTCTGCTATGTCACAATTTGCGTCAGTCTCTCAATCCCAGTCATCACCTTTGCAAGCAATCTCTTCACTCTGCCATCAGCAGAGTTTCTCCGATTCAAATGGGAACCCTGTATCAAGCCCTATTGTTTCTCCCCTGCATAGTCTATTGGGCACATTTCCCCAGGATGAATCATCCCATCTACTTAACTTGCCCAGAAGCAATCCCTTGATTTCTTCTCCTACCTGGCCTTCTAAACGGGCGGCAGTTGAACCTCTTTTTACTTCTGGAGCTCCTCAATGTGTTCTGTCCCAAGTGGAACAATTGGTGCCACCTCAGACAAATATCTCTCAGAATTCTATTTCTTTGCCGCCTTTTCCTGGCAGGGAGTGTTCAATTGACCAAGAAGGGAGTGCCGATCCACAGAGCCATCTTTTATTTGGGGTTAATATAGAGCCCTCATCTCTTCTGATGCAGAATGAAATGTCAAGCCTTGGGGGAGTTGGGAGCAACAGTGACTCCACAACCATACCTTTTGCTTCCTCAAATTACATGAGCACTGCAGGAACCGATTTTTCAATCAATCCAGCAATTACACCTTCCGGTTGTATTGATGAATCAGGGTTCCTACAGTCTCCAGAAAACGTGGGCCAAGTAAACCCACCAACCAGAACCTTTGTTAAGGTCAGTTGCCTCTACAGTCTTAAAATTGTTTTACCACAATATTTGATTTATTAGTGGCCTTTTGCAATGTCTTCTGGTTAATCTCAATTTTGCATTGATAGGTTTACAAGTCAGGGTCCTTTGGTAGATCACTGGATATAACCAAATTCAGCAGCTACCACGAGCTACGCAGTGAGCTTGCTCGCATGTTTGGCCTTGAAGGCCAGTTAGAGGACCCTCTGAGATCAGGCTGGCAGCTTGTATTCGTTGACCGGGAGAATGATGTTCTTCTTCTTGGTGATGACCCCTGGCCGTAAGTTCCAATCTTCTTCATTGTTTTGTTAATGGAATTTTATTTGAGTTCTCCAAATAGTTCTTTCTTATATCTTCTTCTTCTTATTTTTTTTTCAACCATATCTTGGATATTTTTAAGAATGGATTTACATCTCTTAGTGTAAGACATGGATTAAATTTTTTGATCGTTTGATTATAAAAGTCCGGCATCTTACCTAGAAATTTTAAAACAGGAAAAAGAAAAAGAAAATAGAACCAAAATAAACAAACTTGGTGAAATATGATGGTCTAAGGTCATTCATATTTTGGTTATACTGATGTTATGGTGCTGTGATTCCAGGTTCTTAATTTGGACATTCCTTGGGTTAATATTCATTCTTGTCGCCTTTTAGTTGATATATTTCATTCTTCTATTACCAGGGAATTCGTAAATAGTGTGTGGTGTATCAAAATACTTTCACCACCAGAAGTGCAGCAAATGGGCAAACGAGGCATAGAGCTTCTGAATTCAGTTCCAATTCAGAGGCTCTCCAACAGCAGCTGTGACGACTATGCAAGCCGGCAGGACTCAAGAAATTTGAGCACCGGCATAACTTCGGTGGGGTCACTGGACTACTGAACAATTTAACCGGTCAAGATACGTCTCTCTTCTGTAATGTTACTGTGTTTCAATCCGTGTAGAGGTGGCAACAGCCACCTAACTCTAGTTTAAAGTTGATATATAAGTTAATACTGTAAGTATAAGATATATTTTCACATATTAAGTGCTATGAAATATGGAAATATTTATTAGGATCTATTGATTGTGATGGAAGTTGTTTGTTTCAATATTTAGTTATAGCAGTCAATTTATAGCGAGGTGAAGGTTACTTAATTGTGGAATTCAACTTGAATTTTTCTGAAGTTTGACGAGGCATTCAAGTATGGGAATTTTAAAGTGATAAAGAAACATACCTAAAACTAACAGTTTGGCACATGATTTAGTAGCATGTGGAAATCAAATTTGTCATGTGAAAATGTCAATACTCTTTGTTGTGTTCTTAGTTTTTGGCAAAAGAACCTAACCCCACTACCCCCTTCTCCTTTCACTACTATAAGTGCTCCCAAGATGATCCAAGTAGAGATTTCTTTTAAATTATGATAATTAAATTAGGCCATTGTTTTTCGTTTCCCAAACACTGCAGGGTTTGGCTTGCGAAACAAGGTTGGGTGATTTTTATATTTATAAAAAGAAAAAATTAGTCTGAATTGAAATGAATTTTAATAACGTAGTACAATTTTTTTTCCTCAAGTGATGATTGAGATTGATTTCTCAAGTATGAAATAAGAATCATTTGTTATAGTTGGAAGATGCCCAGAAGAGTAATGTGATCATAATCTTAAGAAAAAAAAAAAAAAAAATTTGGGCAATGTGATGTCGGTAGGGTGGACATGTGAGGCACGTTTGAGTCCTTATCTCATCATCCACAGCCTAATATTTATAAAATAGAAGCAGAAATAGAAAGTGTGGACAAGTGCAAAGAAAAAAAGAGTTGGGGCATCTTTTTCAGCTTAGTGGGGCATTTTATAAAGGTGATTTTAATAGTGTTTTGTGTATTTTGATGCATCATGTTGTGGGGCTAAACAACTTTTATTTAGAGATGGAATGGTGACAAAGGTGAAGGTAGGGCACTATCAACAATAATAGTATCAACTACTTCTTTCAAAGTCCATAATTTTGGTGGGGAAAGGTTTTTGTGTCCTTTTTCTTCACTTACATTGTATCAAACTTTTCATTTGGTCCCATTCTCCTCCTCTATCAATGTGAAACTCTTTACTTATTTATCATATGGGTTATTCTTTTTTTTTTTTCTTTAAAAAAAAAAAAAAGACATGCTAATTAATGCCTTTTATAAAATTTAAAAATTTACTAGTAATTGTTTTTCTAACATTACTTGTGAAAAAAATGACTAGGGCAATTCTGTTGTGTGAGAGATCTATCTATAATATATTTACTAAAAGTGGGAGGTACCTGTTTACCTTGCAATAACTCAAAAGAAAATTCACTATCCTTAAAGTGCTTCGGTGGGTTTTGTTGACATGACACCTTTGATGCCTAATTCATGTAGTAAAAACCAAAACAATTGAAAAAGAGAGGATTTTATGTGAGAAATGTGCGCTTATTTTTGTCAATCCCCTTAGATGGTTTATATAGGTGTTACCGCTTGGATGTGAGGAGGATTTTAGGGGCTATATTGTCATAATTTTGGTGGCATAATGGTGCTTGAGATGGTGGCTGGTGGTCAGGTTCAACCTTAAAACATGAGGATGGTGGATAAGTTAATTTCCTATAACGAGAAGTTAACTTGGAGTGGAAGCCAAGCAAATAATGGGTTTATTAGAGATTTTATCTCTATGTGCTATGTTTTTTTGCCCTTTGTTCTCTCAAATCAAAATATTTGGGTTGTCTTCTCAGGATTTGGCTTTGAGTGACTTGATTACCTTGGTCTATCCCGTTTGATGTTTCTATTCATTATGAAACTTGATTTTATATTTTAGCCTCGTTTATCATAAATTCTCTCATTAGGCTTCATTAAATTAGACTTAAGCAACCATTATTGGGTGGTCGAGTGGTCAACTAAACCACCACTAAGCAGTAGAGTGGTCAATTAAGACTCTTAGATGTATTACTCAAGAGGCTTGAGTTCGATTTAACCCTGCTACTAATAAGAGTGATTATTGGAAGCTTATTCGGTTGTCAACTTTAGGGCCCTAAGGGATTAGTTGAGGCGCGCACAAGCTGGCCCGAACACTCCCGTCAACAAAAAAAAAAAAACATTAGACCTAAGCTAATTTTTTTCCCTCATCAGACATTGTATTGTAGTATTACGTGTAGCCATAAACATAGAACAAGAATTTTAGATTATGAAACATAAAAACAGAAAAATGTTGTTGAATTTTTTATGTAGATTCATATTTTATTTTTATTTAATATATAATTACAAGCATATACATTTCAAATATATTTTTTTAATTAACTTAAATTAATTGTATTCATAACATGAACATAATGTTGGAACACACACGCAAATTAATTCTTTAGTAAGAACGTCTTTTTATTCTCCTACAAGGATCATGCTTGTATGTCATTAGATTTATCATCATTCAACCAAAATGATAATTTATAGATGAATCTAATTACATTAAGGATGATTATTATAAAATCAAAATAAACTGATTTAAAATAATTTTTATAAATCATTATAAACTGAAGCTAAAGAATAATAGGTAATTAACTAACTAAAATGTTTTCCTAGTCTAATATCTATACTTACAAAAAAGAAAAAGAAAAAGAAAAAGTTATATGTGAGTTATCTAGTTTTAATTTTTAAAAGATAAGATAAAATTAAGAAAGAGTGGATCTATGGGCATCACATTAATGGACTAAATAAGCCCCACTTTTTAATAAATTTTAAATTATTAAAATTAACTTTAATTTTCTATTATTTACAAATACTTTTGACATCCCACTATTATTTCATAAACCCTAATTTTTTTGGGTAAACCCGGTAATAAAATAAAAGAATAAAGATATATGTTGACCTCTCATATGTTTTGATGTGCTAAAATTATCCAAAAAGTTGATTGAATACTAACCATAACATGCTAAGGTATGATTCAAGTCATAATCAAACCAAAACAGGTTTAATAGGTGGTTCAATAGTGCATAAGCAAATTTCTGCTTAGGTACAACCGTGCGTCATCAAGGCACGACCGTTCCTTAAGAGAAAGTTGCTATGCAATATCGCATGACATCGTTCCTCTTGGTCGTTAGTCACTCTGCCAATTTGAAGTGGCACTTGCACGACCATACTGCACTTGCACGACCATCCTACAAGACCGTGTGCCCAAGTTCAAAAGTTAAGATAATTCAAATCTCGAACACTTTGCGCTCTTGACTTCATCTCAAAGGTCAAAGTCAAAACTCAAAATTCAACATTGGAACGACTGTTCCTTATGGTGGAATGACCGTTCGTTTCTAAAGAGGGCGTTCATTCCTTTGGAAATTTAAGAAGATTTGGAAGAACATTTAGATGTGATCTTTCTTCGTGGTTGAATGATTGTGTAGTGGTCTTGCATGATCATACGGTTTTGAGGAATGACCGTTCTAGTTGACCTGGATATGAAAAATATGACCTTTGTGTCAGGAATGACCGTTCGCAATTATGGAATGACCGTTCTTCTGGGTTTTACAACTTTATCAGAAATGCATTAAATGATGCAACGGCTAATTCTTTTTGGGATATAAAAGTTCAATGTTCCTAGGTTATTTTATAGAGAAGAATAAGAAAAACATCTTAACATAATCCCTAGAGCTCAAAATCTATATCAATAATCTCACTTGTACTCATCTTGTAAACCTTTGAGAGATAATTTGTTCTTATTGTGTGTATAAGCCTACTTGAAAGAGGAAATCAGTCACAAACAACTTTAAATCCTTTCCTTAGTAACGAAATCCTGTAAAACTAGGTGCAATCTTGTAAATCTATGTGTGTGAGACGAAAATCCTTGTGAAAACTATTATATGGGCAAAATCCAATTCTAGTGGAACTTCAAGGAGGTTGTCTTGCAGAAGTGGATGTAGGAGGCTTGTGGATATAGCTCCGAACCACTATAAATTGCTGAGCATTTATGTCTCCGTCTCTATCTCTCTCAACTCTTTATTACATTGCATTGTTGTTCATTGAGCATAATTTATTGCACTTGTTCTTGCATTTATTATTCACACTTATTGTTTACAAGTTGGATGCATTTATTGCTCTTCAAATCATATTGTTTAGTAACATCTTTATCTTTCTTGATTTGTTGAGTTTAGTCATTGAATATTGTCTTGATAAACTCACCACTTTTTTTAACTCTCAGGGTGTGTTTGGTTAGGGCTCTCCTGTAATTTATCTTTAATTATGGACATTCCCTTGTTTGGTTATCAAGTAATAAAAGATTTCGGTAATCTTTCAATACCAATAGTGATGACTGTGGGTTAAATAGGGGGTAATCAGATTACCTTCTAAGGGGTTGGTATTTAAAGATTATCGGGGTAATCTTAATTTTATACCCATTTTGCCCTTAATTAAATACCATTCCAGACACAATTTCCCTCAAATGTCTATCAAATAACAATCAACCCAGACCCACTATATTTTAGAATTTAGCTAAAACACCCCAGTCACAAAAGTTTAAAAATTAACAAAATAACCCTAGTCACCAAAGACCACCACCAGCCATCGGCAATAGTCATTAGATTTATGCACGATCGGCGGGATCTAGCTGACCGTGCATTGATCTGGCTGTTTTTGGCCAGATCGAAGGCTGAAAACGGCCATATCGCCATAGATCTCGTCGAAAACGGCCAAAATAGATCTGCCATTTGTGGCCATTTTCGATCAGGTCTACAGCGATTTGGCCGTTTTTAGCCAGATCCATAGTGATCTAGCTATTTTCGGCCTTCAATTTGGCCAAAAACAGCCAAAACGGCACATGACCAGCCTAATCTTGTCGATCGTGCATCGTTTTGATGACTGATACTGGTGGTTGGCGGTGGTGGCCAGCAGTCGGCTTGGATAGTTGGGGGTATTTTGTTAAAATTTTAACTTTGTTGTTGGGGGTGTTTCAGCTAAATTCTCAAATATAGGGGGTTAAAAGAATTTATTTAAATAATGATAATAATAATAATAATATTATTATAATGATATTAAAAAGGAAGGGCAATTCAGTAAAAGCTTCTGTCAATAATATTTTATTCTTCCTAACCAAACATCTTAATTATTTATACCCACTAATCTAACCAA